ATGACAATAATTTAATTATTTTGCTCAATTTAGTTCAATATTGATTCAATTTAGTTTAATAACAGGGTTGATGTTCCAAAGTGCATTAATTATAAAACAAATTCAAAAACAGTCATTATTCATCTCAATTTATTTCAATGTTCAATGCTGATTCCGTTCAGTTCAGTAATAAATTCATTGCAAAATTAATTATGAAATTAATTCCATTTTAGCTATAAAGCAGCTCTACAAAAGACTCTCTAAAAGTTTAGTTCAGTGTTTATTCAGTTCAGCTCAATAACAGTGTCAATGTTGCAAAATTCATCAATTATGAAACTAATTCAATTTCAGCTATTAAGCAGCTCTATAGAAGACAATAGTGTTATTTTTCAGCACAGTTTAGTTCAACATTGTCATCATTTCAATGTTAGTTCAATAACAGTGTCAATGTTTCAACGTTCATCAGTTAAGAAACAAGTTAAATTAACAGAAGTGTCATTATTCGGCTCAATTCAGTTTACAATCAGTTACATTTTGTTCTCATCCGATGGTGTCAGTGCAGTTCAATTGATAATATTACTGGATATTAATCGTCTTTCTAACTTCATGTGGCTCACATTTATTCTGCGTGTTGAAGTGTTTTTGTTTCTGCTGCGTTTCTCTGCAGACATGCAGCGCTATGAGAGTGCATTGAGCTGGAAGGCTCATGATGGTGAAGTGTACAGCGTGGAGTTCAGCTACGACGAGAACACCGTCTTCAGCATCGGAGAGGACGGGAAGGTGATGGGAATTTTGGGGATTTTTGTAGGAATATCTAGAGTTCAGTGTAGATTCATCACTAAACGTCATGTTTTGCTTGTGGTCAGTTTGTTCAGTGGAATATCCACCGCTGTGGCGTGAAACAGTCGGAGTACTCGCTGTCCCAGGATGCCGTGGGGCCGTTTGTCCTGTCGGGTTACAGTGGTTATAAACAGGTTCAGGTTCCACGCGGTCGACTTTTTGCTTTCGACTCTGAGGGGCAACATGTTCTCACCTGCTCCAGCAGCGGAGGAGTTATCTACCGGGTAAAAATACATTTACCAACCACTCACACCTGTCAGATCAGTTTGGTTTTGTCACCAGTATTTTGTCTCTGTCATTATCCACCTTTTTCTTCAATGCGGAAAGTAAGCCTATGGGCAAGACTTCCGGTTCATTAGCCCCTATAGGGAAATAACGAGAAGAATAACAACGTGCAGTAAACGGTAAAACTGTTTGCATTACAAACCAGAGTGTTCATAATTAAGATAATACATTAAAAAAATATGGTTTTTTGAATGTGGAAAAAGGTGGATAAGCCAGGGTTGTTTTAGTATAATTGATCAAGTTTTATAGTATAGTAAGGTAGTTTTTTTTGTGTTTTCATTTTAATGTTAGTTCAAGTTTTAGTAATTTTGTTGGGTTATTTACCTCCTTTTTTATTATTTTTTTGCTTTTTTATTTAGTCTCTTTAGCTTTTATAAACTGTTTTGCTTAAGTTTGAGTTATTTTAGTACTTGAACTTAAACTAAACAAAAATGAAAAATGCTGCCTTTACAACTTTCTGAAATAAAATGTTTAATTTTTATTTCAGTTAACATTTATTTTAATTCTTTAGTTTTAGTAATTGTATTAGTTTCTTCTAAATATGTCTATGTAGTTTTATCAAGTTTATTTCAGTTTTAGTTTCCGTTATTTTAGTACTTCGACAGAAATTAGAAATGCTACTTTTGCAACTAGCTGAAATAAGTTTTAGTTATTTATATTTCATTTAATTGCAGCTATCATTTTTTTAACTCTTCAGTTTTAGTATTTGGTTGTCCGTTTTTCTCATTACTATTATTATTATTATTATTATAAATATCTATATTGTTTTTATAAATGTTTGTATTAAATAAACTAAAACTAAACAAAAATAAGAAATGATGCTTTGGCAACTATAGCTGTAATAAAATATGTTTTCTTTTAATATATATATTTTATTTGATTTCAGTTAATGTGGATTTCAGTTCATGTATCAGAATGTTTATTCATGGTTGTAGTTTTAATGTTATGGATCTAACCTCATATCTGCTCTGCTCTTGTCTAGTTGAATAAGGCGGACGCGGGTCTGGAAAGCGTCTTGTCTCTCGGCGGTCATAAAGCGCCCGTCGTGACGGTTGATTGGTGCTCAGCGATGGACTGCGGCACCTGCCTCACCGCGTCTATGGACGGCAAGATCAAACTCAGCACGCTGCTCGCTCAGAAACCCTGAGCTCACAAATCAAGTACAGCAGATCTGAAATGAGCCAGTCTGCTATAGTTAAAATCACATGATGTCTTATGAAGCAATCATCCATGACAGGTGACCATTAGAATATCAAAACAATGTTACTGATTCAAAGACAACAAATCTGCATTTCCACTGAATGGTAAAACAGACCATATAGATCCTGAGAGTGGTGACATATTATATTTTTCACAAGGCATTTATGGTTCTGTGTGCATTAGTGACGAACGATGAACAAATGTTCAGTGAGGAAGGGCATTACCTTCACATTAATGTTTCTGTCCTTCTAAGATAATGTTTATTTCTTACTTCTGGAACCATAAAATAGAGCTTAGCCAAGTAATAAACTATTTGAATGATGTTCATAAACTGTTGAACAATAAAATTAAATATGATCAACCAAAGTCCTGTGTGTCATTTAAAGTGTGGTTTTGAGGTCCCAAGTTAATTTATAAAAACAGGGAAAAACTATTTTTGTATAAATGAATTTGAAATATGTTCACAGTAATACAATTACAATGGTAAAGTCACTTAAGTGTCTTAAAAATCTTTAAAAGCAAAAATAGCCACTTAATTGAATTATTCAGTATAAATGTGTGTTATTTGAGCTGTTATGGGCGACCTTCATATAAGCACAGAATAGTTGCCTCACATCCTTTCCTGGCATCTTTGTGTGTAGATGTTAAACCAGGTATACTTTTTATTTTGTCATGATTCTATCATTCTCATGTTAATTTGTTAACATTTTTCATTAGTGCATTTATGGTTCAGTTTTACAATCTGAGGGATCAGTTTAATTAGCTGTGGTAATTTAAAGGGATAGTAGGCTATATACACACACACACACAAAATCAATAATTCCTCCCTTGGTGTTGTTCTGAAGTTATGACTTGGCTTTCTGAGAGCTTTATTGTTATTATAACAATAAAGCGCTTAAATAAATGCCAGCGCGCAAAGGAAAATTTGCGTCCATTGTTTGAAATGGGCTCGCGTTAAATCAATGAGAACCGACAAACGTAACGGACATAATTACTTCAGAGAACCTATTGTATATCTTTCAGCATGAGTCGCAAAGGAGTAGGTATGAGGCTTTCTTCAAAGCTTGAAGAGAAGAGTTCTTATAGCCTATTATATGATCGAGCGCGAGTAGGACATCTTTAAATGTCTCGCTGCGTTTTCAGAAAAAGGAAGGTCATAGCCTACTGCTTTAGATCGGAACACCGAGGTGAGTAAAAAATGACAGAATATTTATTTATTTTTTTGAGAGAACTATCCTTCTAAGTTGAAGAGAACATAAAATTCCTAAGAACTGACCCCTAAAGAGTCTCTCAATAAATAATGATTCATCTTTTAATGATATCCATTCACAGAATCACAGGAAGTAACTTAAAGGCACAATATGTAATTTTCGCCGCTCGTGCATATGTGGGGGAAAAAACAGCGCTGTTTTATCATACTAGATACATTTGAAAGTTCTATTTTCTACAAAACAAAACCGGAAATCGAGGGGTTATGGCGTCATTGGCAGGCGACACGATGGACACGGTCCGTGTCACTAGTTAAAATTGCTTATTTCTCTGGATTTAAACATTCTTAGAAACATTTGGGATAATGTAAGCACACAAGTCAGCAAAATATATAACACTGTTCTAGTGGTTTTTGGATATTTTACTAAAAAAAAATCTTACATATTGTGCCTTTAATTGAAATGTATTTCCTAAACTGACAGCTATTCACAAAAATAGTCTTATAACAAACTGGAGGAAAACACAAGTAAATTATTTATTATTATAGATGTTGTTGCTGTTGTTGTTGTCTTCAATTCAATTTAAATACCTTATTTAAATCTCTCTTTTAGATCTGCCCAGTTCATTCTGGCCAAAGCCGTTTAAGCACTGTTTGACATCAACAACACCAAGGTGAGTAAAATGACATCATTTTTTATTTCGATATTTATTATATTTTATTTTTTGAGGGAATTAGTTTTTTAAGTTAACCCAGGTAAGAACTGAACCATGAGGAGACACTAAATAAATATGTCATCATTCACCTTTTTAATGATATCCATTCAAAGAATCACAAGTAGTAACTTTATAACACATATAACACACCTGAGGAATACATAAGTAAATTCTTCAGTATGTTCCAGATCTTATAATATGTAGTTGCTGTTATCGTTGTTGTCCATTAAATGTAAATGGGAAAAAATGTCTCACTCTTAGATCTGCCTAAACCTAATTAAGCACTACTTGAAGGTAGGTTTACTGATGATGCATTAAACAATACCACCAAATGATTTGTTTCTGAAACAACCAATCGGTTTAATCACAGCAGTACATGCGCACATCATTGAGGGCCGTGTCGTCTTACAATAAGTAGCATAAATAAAGGAAATTGTGCTATTTTACCATAGTGTAAATATATTCTATGGCTATTTGCACTTAGTGTAAATAGCATATCGCTAAAAATACTGCTATTTGCACTTAGTGTAAATAGTATCTATCGCTATTTACACTTAGTGCAAATAGCCGCTGCCTAATAAAAAAATCCAGCTTAAAAGAGATAGCAAAAATCTTTGATGATGCCGGCTCTGGTCCAAATTCGAATATGCTGTCTCGCACATGGCTGCATCTAATTGAAATGATCCTCATTAGTGGCTGATTTGAAGTGCTCTACATAGGCAGCAACGCTGTCATAGGATGCTCTCTATATAGGCAGCTCACTAGGTTTTGGAACAGAGCCTCTGTATTACGTCCAGTTCAAGCTCTTCACCTTCCTACGTCGGACTGAATTGTGGCGTAGTCCTCGTATGGGGCCGATGAGCTTTTGGACGGGTTGATGCAGTGAAGACGAATCCCATTGAGCGCTGTGTTATCACCAACCAGCAGAGATTCCCACATACCTGCCACCTTTAGAAAAACCACAGCAAGTGATGTACTAATAACTTTATAGTCACTCTGAGCAGTTGTTATTATTATGGTTAACTAAAACAAAAACTAAGAACTTGCATTAACTCAAATAAAATCAGTTAAACAAACAGTTACACTTTCAGGAAATATTTCTAATTTCTATTTAGTTTAAGTTGAAGTACTAAAATTACAAAATTAGAAATAACCAAAACTTAACATAAAATCAAAATGAAAACTGAAAATCTAAAAAATTAAAACGAAATACAGTAAAAACATAAATACCATAAAAATATATATATTATACTAAAATAACACTGGTTTAGAGCTGTGTGAAAGGATATTTTACATATGGTGTTTTACTCATATAAATGATCAGCTACTGTAGTTGAGTTTTGGTATATTTTTTATGTGAGTATACTGTATGTATGTGGGCAAAGTTGAATATACGTATAGAAGTTAAGATACTGAGGATTGTGAAATCTATATGTTTTTTTGTTTTAATTTATGATGCTTTGGTGTTTATAAAGCTACCATGGCTATTTTCATGGCAAGAAAAAGGGCCAAATGTAGACAAACATTTTTTTACCATTTATTTTTGATTAAAAGATCTAACATTTCTGGTCTGCAAATATCTGGCCTAATATTTTGTTGTCATGACAACCCTAATTACTGTTAGATGCTGTGTATCAGTGCCATGATTAAAATTTCACATTTTGGGGTTATAATTTTGATCATATCACACACATGTCATAATACTTAACACGTATTATAATAATATAATATAGTGTGCTACTATAGAATTCACTATTGGTTAACTTTAACATTACCTATAGTCTGCATGGCGTTGATGGCATTAGGTGAAAACTTCACAATAATCAATTATAACCAGACTAACCATTCATAATAAGATCAGGAACATGAATTAAGTAAATAGTCAGTTTTGATTTGAAGTGGAGTTGGTTACCAACCACTAAACCTCACACTACTGTATACTGGTCATAGTTACTCACCTTCAGACTAAAACCTGTGGCGTACATTCCAGTTGGACACATTTCTTTCTGACCCCACGAGCCCCATCGCATCCCATTATGGACCTTCAGCACTGACCCAAAAGGTCTGCTGATGGTTCGCTCGAAGCGTCCTCCTGCGATCACATACTGCCCGAAAACAGCCAGCAGTGAAATCAGCGTCAGAGACAGAAACTTGTACATGGTTTGAGAGTCGTCTTTATGTCTCCTGCTGGAGATCGGAACAGACGTGTGTCTGTGTGTGTGTGTGTGTGTTGTCGGTTCGTCACAGAGCTCAATGTAGGACATTGACCCTCCACCAACAGCTGGATCCAAGTCCAACCAGCACAGCAAACAGAACCTCTCTCCAAAAGTAAATAGAGTTAGAATATGAAAGGGGATAACTTGAATTCCCACATACCTGCCACCTTTAGAAAAACCACAGCAAGTGATGTACTAATAACTTTATAGTCACTCTGAGCAGTTGTTATTATTATGGTTAACTAAAACAAAAACTAAGAACTTGCATTAACTCAAATAAAATCAGTTAAACAAACAGTTACACTTTCAGGAAATATTTCTAATTTCTATTTAGTTTAAGTTGAAGTACTAAAATTACAAAATTAGAAATAACCAAAACTTAACATAAAATCAAAATGAAAACTGAAAATCTAAAAAATGAAAACGAAATACAGTAAAAACATAAATACCATAAAAATATATATATTATACTAAAATAACACTGGTTTAGAGCTGTGTGAAAGGATATTTTACATATGGTGTTTTACTCATATAAATGATCGGCTACTGTAGTTGAGTTTTGGTATATTTTTTATGTGAGTATACTGTATGTATGTGGGCAAAGTTGGATATATGTATAACAGTTGTCAATTTTGGCTCATTTTGGATTTCATGAGAGCTACACATTCCAAAAAAGTTGGGACAGGTAGAAATAAGAGGCCAGAAAAGTTGAATGTACATATAAGGAACAGCTGGAGGACCAATTTGCAACTTATTAGGTCAATTGGCAACATGATTGGGTATAAAAAGAGCCTCTCAGAGTGGCAGTGTCTCTCAGAAGTCAAGATGGGCAGAGGATCACCAATTCCCCCAATGTTGCGGCGAAAAATAGTGGAGCAATATCAGAAAGGAGTTTCTCAGAGAAAAATTGCAAAGAGTTTGAAGTTATCATCATCTACAGTGCATAATATCATCCAAATGCTGGAATGCTTTGGCAAGACAAATGTACAAAATATTTTCCATGCCAATAAAGCACCTAAAAACTGAAACATAGAATTACAGAATTCACCAAGATCATTACCCATCACACTTTCTATATGCTTATGAAAAGGTGTTAGAGGAGCGATGGTCCCCGAGGGTTTTCATAGCAACAGCACCATATGCATTTCATTAAATTGACAGAAAGTTGACTGAATATTTCATTAAACAATGCAATTAAAAATGAACTGATCATGTTGTATAGATGTGTGTTTCTGTGCATTGGTGTCTTTTGTGTGCATGTACACTACCAGTCAAAAGTTTTTGAACAGTAAGAGTTTTAATGTTTTTAAAAAAATAAGTCTCTTCTGCTCACCAAGCCTGTATTTATTTGATTCAAAGTGCAGCAAAAACAGTAACATTTTGAAATATTTTTACTATTTAATATCGACTCCAAGCGTTTGAATGGTATATTGTATAATGTTACAAAAGCTTTTTATTTCAGATAAATGCTGATCTTTGGATCTTTCTATTCATCAGAGAATCCTGAAAAAAGTTTCTTGAACAGCAAATCAGAATATTAGAATGATTTCTGAAGAATCATGTGACTAGAGTAATGATGCTGAAAATGTAGCTTTGGTCACAGGAATAAATTACATTTGAAAATATATTCAAATAGAAAACAGTTATTTTAAATAGTAAAAAATATTTCAACATTTAAACAATTTAAAATCTCACTGTTCAAAACCTTTTGACTGGTAGTTTGTGTTTTTTTTAGCTTAACCAGCCATTTCTACCTAAAATGAAGTTTTTTTTTAATTAAACTTTTTTATTTGAAAAAGCATGTCAAAACATTGTTCATAAACCTTTGCTTTGTTGGTAAGCATATGTATAATTGCTTTAGTACCCTTATTGGTGATGAATGAAATTTACTATGTCAGGCTCCACTTACCTTACAATTTCTCTGACAAGCTTAATGTAACACTCTGCCCTGCCTGCCTTAAGAAACTCAGACCAATCAAAATTATTGTTACATGTCAACAAGTGTTGAAGCAACAATGCAAGATCAGTTATTGTGACTGATTATAAACATTTGAAGAGATATGACGCTACAACCTTATTTGGCCCATTTTACCTGATAGCCCATTTTAGCGGACTTCACCCTACTAGTTATAGCAGGTTTGGGGTTATTATGAATTCCTACATTAAGGGTTAGGAACAGCTTCTTCATAAGCTACAGTAGACAAATCAATTTTCTTTAATTTTCGGTAGTAAACCTGTGTTTTTTCTTCAGCTGGGGAATCAAATGGACAGAAATCAAATGGTGCCCTTCTGGATTCTTGACTGCATTTCAGCGGAGAGTCGAATCTTCTCAAGGAATTGAAGACGACACAGCCGCAAACAACAACAGGTGTATATAAGCAGGTGCTCGGCATAGGATCACTGATTCTTTCTCCTTCAGCGACGACATCTACTGCTCTTCACTGATTCTACGAGATTTGAAGCCTTCGCCTGCAAGCTGATCCAGCCGCTGTTCTGCAGCAGCAAGATCAGCTCGCCGCCTCCACTCTCTGCTCACCGCTTGCAGCTCGCCGCCCACAGCTTGCCGTTCTCAAGCAGCACTGATTTGCGCTGATGACGGGCACCCCCAGACAGCCTTCTCCTTTACACTTTTCCCCCGATCGCCCTGATCCCTCAGGTTATCAGGGAACAAAGGCACAAGGTTCTTCTAGTGGCCCGCTCTGGAGAAACCAACTATGGTTCTCAGAGATGTCTCAGCTGCTCACGGCAGCTCCATGGCCCATTCCCCTGAGACGGGACCTCCTCTCTCAGGCGAACATGACGATATGGCACCCCCAACCCAAGTTGTGGGCCCTACACTTATGGCCTCTCGATGGGAGCCTATGAACCTCCCAGAGGGTGTCTTAAATACCATTTCTCAGGGTAGAACCCTGTCCACAAGGCACCTCTATGCCCTCAAATGGTCGGTCTTCACCGCTTGGTGCATAAACTGCAGTGAAGATCCATCCACATGTGACATATCTTCAATATTGTCCTTCCTTCAAGATCTATTGGATAAGGGTCGCACCCCCTCCACTCTTAAGGTCTATGTGGCGGCTATAGCAGCTTTTCATGCTCCTATAGATGGGATATCGGTCGGCAGAAACAACCTTGTTGTTCGATTTTTGAAAGGGTCAATGCCCCATCGGGGTCAGAGCACATTCCACGAGAGGCATGGCCTCATCCTGGGCATGGTCCAGTGGTGTGTCCATTGCAGAAATTTGTGCGGTGGCCAACTGGTCCTCGCCATCCACCTTTGTCAGGTTCTACAACCTAGACGTCCTTGCTTTGCAGGCTCAGGTCCTTTCTGCTTAACTGTCTCTCTGAGCTCAAAACGCTCCAGGAACCATACCCCCGCCCTAAGGCTGGATTTAATCCTTGCTGGATTTGACTATGTTTCGAACCCGCTGAAGTTCCCACACCTGGGCTTAGCTTCCGGCATGCTCTTGACCCTATCTAGTTCCGAGGCTGTGCAAAGCTCTAAGAACTATTATGTAAGGCCGGGCTCGACCTCTATGAGTTAGCCCATTTCTTTGCCTCCTCTTGACCCCAAAAAAGAATCCGGGTCTCTGGCTATGGCCTGCTTTATTGTAGTTATCACCAAGTATGTTCACACACACACACACACACACACACACACACAGACAGACAGACAGACAGACAGACAGACAGACAGACAGACAGGGCCGGAGTGGGACTTATTTTCAGCTCTGGAGTTTCATGCCTTAGACCGGCCCACTTTAGTTCACGACTGACTATATTTAAATAATGGAATTAAAACCTTCCACCTTTATAAAATAAAGTCTGCAATAGTGCACTGTTCTCTACAGCCTTGTAGTTCATTGCATTTTTCTAGAGCAATTTGTACCATAATGTATGTCTGCCTGCAGTCAAAAAGTTCTCAGAAGTAATCATTTGTTTTATTTAACCTATTTATGTACAATAATTTAAAAAATAATGTCATACAAAAAATGTCATTGACCTGAGTAAATTGTAGACTACCATTATAGAATTGTGACTGCACAAGTAGTGTAGTAATTTAGGAGGTGAAAATACTGTGAAATGACATGCATACAAATGGCATGAAATTTTATTTACATTTTAAATTTATCAAATTTTATTGTAATAATATAGCCTATGAAACAGGAGCAACCGGAAGAGGATGTCGCTTACTCTTAAAGCCTTTCTCAAATGTCTACATTCACAAATAAAACAATGATTTTTGCAAAAAGAATGATTAATTATCAACTGAGAATTTGTTATTCATATGGTCTGGTGGTCATACGGCATATGCCTGCGAATACGGGACAAACTGCGTTCTGTATAGCTTTCATACGGGATGCTTCTTTGATCCCTTAAATACAGGACAATTCTATATAATGCGGAATGGTTGGCAGCCCTATCGCAGTCTGTACTCTGTGAATTGTAATTGTTTAAATGAATGTACAGATATGTTATTTACAAGTGTGGGGATTCTAGACTCAAGATAGGCATACAGAGATTTTGCTGAATCAGTGTTTGTGTTTTTGTGTGTTCATTTACATACAGGTTGTTGATGTGTTCATCTGTGCTCCTGGCTGCTGATTGGCTAGAACCAGATATCACAGTATTGATCAACTGTATAAATACATTCTGAAGCAGCTGTGAAAGAATCAGGCAGATTCACGAGTTCACACTACCATATAACTGGATTGAGCAATTTCTGTCCAGAGGGAGGGCTCCGAGCTATCCCTAAAATGGGATGAGAAATAGAACTAGATAAAAAAGTTAGTCAAGACAAACTTTAAGTTGGCTTGAGAAAGTCGGACCAGAAAGCTTGAAAAAGCTTGAAAAGTTTAAGAAGTTTAAAAAGTTTTAAGTTTGATGGTTTCCAGACTGAAACAGTTTGAAGTTTAAAGTAGTTTAAAAGCTTAAAGTTTGAATGTTTTGAAGCCAATACAGTCTGTCATAGATAGATAGATAGATAAAATCAGACTATAGATAGATAGATAGATAGATAGATAGATAGATAGATAGATAGATGATAGATAGATAGATAGATAGATGGATATAATCAGACTGAAGATAAATAGATAGATAGACAGATAGATAGATAGAAAGAAATAATCAGATAGATAGATAGATGATATATAGATAGATAGATAGATAGATAGATAGATAGA